TGAACCGCCGTTTCAAGAAGATAAGCGTATCTAACTAATGTCTGAAGGCCTAAACATGTGGCCGCCCATTACAGATGCGTTATCAAAAGTCTGATCAATTAGACTTCTCGAACAGTCTAATTTTCCATAACTTTGGTTATGCATTGGGGTTTTACCCAGATAGGAGGAACCTGGGTTGCTTCGGCTCTACATGAGGAAGGACTAGCTGCCTTTCCCCTGCTTCCATAATTTGCCTTCAACGTGCTGTTAACCAGGAGCGGATGGAACCTCAGTTTAAAAGCATTAAACATTTAATATAAACTTAGAATTTATACATATATAATTAATGAACTCATATGAAGAAAAAGATTTAATGTCACTCTTAAAAACGAAGGCTAAACTGATGGTAACCATATAAACTCAACGTCTTAAGAGTATTGCCTTTAGGTCAGAGTAAGTTCACAATTGTTGAACCTAATACTTTGCTCCATTGCATAAAAGGGAGATTTCTTTATGTCTAGCCCCCGGATCATTTCATAAAATCTTATAAAGATGCCGTCACTTTTATGCAAGTATGCGATAGTTCTGGAGGCCTCATTGCTTGTGATGCCCGTGCCAGTGCCTATAAATTATCAGTTTCAAAGGGTGTTCCGGCAGCCTGATGGTAAACGTCATAACTATGCCAACACATTTGTTCCTTTATATCAAGACATACTTTTGTTATTGTGAGGGAATTTAAACATGAAAAAGGCGCTGTCGCCCTCGTGACAGATTAGCGATTTGACGGACGACGAGAAACTTCTAAAAAATAGCGGCATCTTTCTCCAAACTACCTACTCCTGTTATACCAACCCCCTCATTCCAATCTCAACGATACCTCAAAGACCAACCTCAACTATTGCCGGTAAGCCATTAGAAATTTTTATTTTCCCATCACTCTTATAAAATAATTAATTTCACTTTTAGTGCTATGTTTTAGTTCGCCGTCATAAAATTTTTCTTGCGAGAGTTCGAATTAAAATATACTGACGCAATAATTCCTAGTTTAAGGTATAGATAGGAAAGCGTTAAGAAACGTTAGTACACAATCCACCTGCAAGAGATCATTACGGAAGCATGCGCAAGCAGCATTTAAAGCCGTTTAATGATAACGAACTCATTAATCAGTTGTGCACACCGCTACAGTGTTGGTGTTGGTGACAAAACCAAGGACAACCATATCTAGTTGGCCTTAACAAAACCGGCATCGAAAGCTTGTCTGCCGTATTTGTTCAGATTGTGGTGTTGCCATGGAAACACCGTACGAAGTTTTGTGAGTTCTGCGCATGCCCGCCTCGGATGAGCGGCAGATGGCGAGGAAAGAGCGGTGTGCATGAAGCTGGAATTTCCCTTCTCATCGGAATGTCATTATTGATGTGTTAAATAAAGTTTATATACTTTATACTTGTGTCTTGCCTCACCATGGAACCTCTACATTGGGTGACCGACGTTGGACAACGCACATCTTTTGATCGTTTCTTTGAATTTTAACAAAATACGAAAACGGAACTAAACAAAACATCATAAACAATGTATGAAATATCAGCAGTGAAAATACCTTCTTTCATTCCTTCTGATCCATCTCTGTGGTTCACGATGGTCGAATCTACTTTTAAATTAGCGGTTCCAAAGGCTATAACATTTACCTCCCGACATCGCTATGACCGTGAACTGCAAATGGTATTAAGATAAATTTATTATCTTTAGATTTAGGTTTAAGAAAACAGTTTGTTTACCTTTTTTATGTATGCAATGTTCAAACTGCTGTAATTGGTGCAGATTTCTTACATTATTTTAACCTACAACCAGATCATAGAAAATTAATTTGGCGTAAGTATCGCTTAAACGATACTTACACCAAATTAAATTCTTATGGTAATTTACATGTTGCTAGTATACATTCAGTGAAATCTGTAATTTGTAATAATTATTACGCTAAGTTGTTAATTGAATTTCCTCGCATTGTTCAAGCTCCTTGTGCAAACCAAATTGTCAAATATTCAATTCAGCATCATATTGAAACTTTTGGTCCTCCCGTTTTTACCAAACCATGCCGGCTTGCACCCGATCGTTTGAAAATTGCAAAAATGGAATTTCAACATCTGTTAGATTTAGGCCACATTCGCCCATCCAATAGCAATTACGCTTCGCAATTGCATATGGTCCATAAAAACGATATGAACGATTGGCGTCCTGTCGGTGATTTTGGAGCCCTTAATGCTCAGACTAAAAAGAACAAATATCCAATCCCTAGTATTATTGATTTCGCAAGTGAACTCCATGGGTGCAACATATTCTCCCATGTAGATTTAGTCAAAGCATTTCATCAAATTCCGATTGCTCCTGAGAATGTCCATAAAACTGCTATCTGCACACCATTTGGACTTTTCGAGAGTACTCGGATGCAATTTGGTTTGTGCACGCACTTTTCAAAGGTTTATCGATGAAGTGATGAGAGGTTTAACCGGTGTATATGCATTTATTGATGATATTTTGATTGCCTCAAAAAGCCACAAAGAGCATATTAACAATCTACGAGCTCTCTTTCAAAGATTAGATCATTATGGTTTAGCAATCAAACCCTCAAAGTGTACATTTGGAGTTCCTACCTTAGATTTCTTAGGATATAAAGTCTCTAAAGAAGGTATTTCTCCCATTCCAGATCGAGTTGATGCCATTTCTAAATTTCCTAGACCAACAAGCTTAACACAGCTTCGCAGATTTCTTGGCCTATTCAATTTTTATCGCAGATTTGTGCCACATGCAGCGCACATTTTGTCACCTTTAATTAAGCTTCTCGAAGGTCATTCTAACAAAAAGAAATCATTCCGTCCAACTAAGAAGACTGAAAATCCTCTTCCGTGGTCTGAGGATGCCGAAAAGGCATTTTTAGCAGCTAAAGAAGCTCTTACAAAAGCTACCCTCTTAAGACATCCAATTCCTGGTGCTCAACTCAGTCTTTGGACCAATGCATCTGATGTTGCTATTGGCAGCTCTCTCATGCAACTCCAAAATGGTCAATGGAAGCCAATAGCATTCCTTTCTTTAAAATTAAATAACAGTCAGTGGAAATGGTCTACATATGACCGCGAACTTGTGGCAATATATGAGTCTATCAGGAAATTTCAGCACATGTTAGAAGGTCGCAACTTCATGATATTTACCGACTAAAAACAACTAACATTCGCTTTCAGACAAAAAGCAGAAAAGTGCTCTCCTCGACAACTGAGACACCTTAACTATATATCTCTCAATTTTTCACTGATATACAATATGTTCCCTTTCAGAATGGGAGTCACATATACGCATTCCCTAAGAATGTCTCTTACAGCCGGGCGTCCCATCCACGCATCAGTAAAGATCGCATTCAGAGGACGGGTGATGCGTATACGCATTTTAAGGTAGAACGTTTTTCTGAAGGCCACTAGATGGCATCCTGTGTCCATTACTTTTGAAATGAACACAGTTTTAGGTTCCTGACCTTGAGTTTGATATATTCTGCTAAACTTTGGTATTTTACTCATCAGCTGTTCGAGGGTGGGGGGGGCGGAGGGAAAGCGTAAACAGAGGTGGGCTCTTTAAATCTCTGCGTGCTAATGAAAACATTCTTCGTGTCTGATTTATATCCAATTCCTTATTTTTATTCTATTTTCTCCCTCTACTATGTACGGTCCTTTTAGGGATACTGTGCGGAGTTCTTTTACGTTTTGCATTGCCTTCAGCTATATTTCCGTTTCCTTCTCTTTTTATTTATGAAAGCCTTCACCTTCCACCTATTACGGCGGGAAGGCACTATTTATCAGAGGAAGAATACCCTGGTATGGTTAGTGAACCTGGTCATATGGTTAGTGGTCATATGGTCGTATGGTATACCTGGTCGTATGGTTAGTGAACCATTTATTAACATAAATGAGAGTAATGATTCGTTTTCTAAAGAGTTAAAAAGTGATACTTTTTCTAAGAGTTAGAATGTGATACTTCTCTGTGCTTTCGAGATTTACCACACTCAGTCTTTCATTTTAAATTTTGTTACTTCTTACTGTACATAGTCTTTATTGTGTTGTTTTATTAATTTTAAACTTTAGTGATGGATTTTAATCAATTAAAACTTTGGAATAATTTGAATAGCGCTTTCGAAAATTATTTAGAAGATAAGCAATTTTTTAAGTATATTTTCATGTAAAATAAAGAAAAAATGTTTTAAGGGCTAACTTTAACATATATAAGAGCTCAAGCAATAATCTAAAATGATACCAAAAATTACGATGCTAGGAGCGAAACTTTTGTTTTTCTGATTTTTGTTATAAAATTAGGCTTAGCGATGCAAAACCTCCGTCCTGTATGGTGACTGCCTTCGATTCTCTTCCATCCCGCACGAGCGTCTTAAACAAAGGTGCGCAGTCGCGAAAAGGTTTAAGGTAGGGAAAATGTTATTGCTGACACATTCTCCCGAATAGAAGTAGATTCTGTTTCTCACTCACCTATTCTGGATTTCAAACAGTTAGCCTCAGCACAACTCACAGACCATGAACTACAACAATTACTAACTTCTAAATCTTCTTCTTTGAAGCTCTCCAAACAGTATTTTCCGCTTGAAGATATTTATCTCTATTGTGACTCCACAACCAATGTCCCTCGTCCTTTCATTCCCTTTTCATTTAGACATATCATCTTCCAAAGTATTCACAACCTTTCGCATCCAGGTATATCTGCCACTTCAAAATTGATACGCAGACGTTACGTTTGGCCTAACATGCACACTTTTATCAAAAACTCTGTGAACGCTTGTGAGAAATGTCAACGTTCCAAGATACACAAGCATACGAAATCACCCATTTCGACATTTTTTACTTCCTGATGCCAGATTTTCTCATATTCACATAGATTTTATTGGCCCATTACTAATTTCTGAAGGTTATAAGTATTGCTCGACCATAATCAATCGCTTCACTCGATGGCCGGAAGTAATTCCCACATCTGATATGTCGGCTGAAACAACTAGTAAAGCTCTAATTATTGGATGGATAGCTCGTTTCGGATGCTTTTCAACTATCACTACTGATCAGGGTCGGAACTCTGAATCGCATCATTTCAGGGAGTTTACGAACCTGCTGGGCACTTATCGCATTCGTACCACCGCCTATAGATCTCAATCTAAAGGAATCATTGAGCGTTTCCATCGTCAACTGAAAAAGAGCATAAAATCGCAAAAGAATCCTCACTGGACAGAATCGTTACCTGTTATACTTTGGGGTATTAGATTTTCCGTCAAAGACGACATTCAAGCAACTTGTTCTGAGTTGGTCTACAGTATTATCTTAAGACTGCCTTCGGATATTTTGTGCTTAGATCAGCTTTCTCCGCCATCCCCGACACCAACATATGTAAATCGTTTACGATCTATCATGCAATCTCTGATTCCCATCGCAACATCAAAACACTGTTCAGAGCCTATCCACATCCATCCATCTTTAAAATCGTGCTCTCATGTTTATTTGAGAATTAACTCAGTCAAGCCTCCTCTTCAACAACCATACTCAGGTCCTCATCCAGTCATTGAGCGATATGATAAAACCTTTAACGGTAAAAATGAAATTTTTTCAATTGATCGACTCAAACCTGCATTTTTCATTATTGATAAAACCTTTGCCTTTAACACTAAACCTTCCAATAAGACAATATATTGAAACCTACCAAGTCAAATGCTCCTAAAACTGTCGCAAAATCTGGACGACATGTCAAATTCCCTCAACATCTGTCTACCACCTAATACATATAACTTATATATATTGTTATTTATTCAATATTTCATTATGCAGTTTAATTTATCATGTGTTTTATATTGTACCTTTTACTTTCACATTTATCACTGCATAATGTAAATTCTGTATAGTTTTTTGTGAATCGTTCGGTCTCCCTCACTGGGGGGATACTCTGTGGAAACACCGTACGAAGTTTTGGGAGTTCTACGCATGCCCGCCTCGGATGAGCGTCGGATGGCGAGGAGAGAGCGGTGTGCACGAAGCAAGAATTTTCCTTCTCATCGGAATGTCATTATTGATGTGTTAAATAAAGTTTATATATTTTATACTTGTGTCTTGCCTCACCATGGGACCTCTGCAAAATACTATATTTTCGAAATAAATTGTGAATATGTCATGGTGTGATTATTTGATATTCCTCTTAATATGATTTGCATAACTTTAACAAAGCATATTATGCATTGTTCTTTCATTTGTTTCAGATTCAAATATATTGAATCTTGTTTTGTCAATCAGCTGAAGAACTCTGTTATGACGATCAAGATGAGAAAGGGACTACTATTTCTAAGAACGTCAGTAAACATTAGTAATGAGTTTGAGTAACACTAGTCGTGAGTAATCTTCTTAGAAAGGATTGCAATTTTCCATCATATCACCATTGCTTATGAAGGCATATTCTCTCTAAACACGTTCATGTCTAGGGTTTCGGCGCATATGATGAGTTCCTTAGTCAGATTACAGAAGTTCTTTCTTTTCTTAAGTTGTAATTAATCTGTTGACATATTCTAAGTCTGTTTCGTATAAATGTTTAGTTTTTTTCAAACGTCGTTTCATTAATTTTTTTTTTTCAATCTAGTTATACTTTTAGTTAGTTTTTTGACTTTAGGATATGAAACATTTCACTTTTCTCTGTACTCTAAATTATTTACCAGATTTACTTCTAAAGATGAAATATTGGATTATCTTTTTCAAGTAAGTTTAGTTTGTCTGAAACTATGTCATCTCTTGCAAATCAAAACACTATTTCAGGCACTGATCTTCAAATATTTGTCGTCGTAGTATGGAAAGATATTTATCTTGAGGGGGTGGAGAGAATGAATCTCATAACATGCTGATATATGGTTATAGGTTATGGACTATGAGTTATTATTGAAAAGTAATCCAGAAAATATATATCTTTGATGCAAAATTTGAAACTTTTGCTAAAACGACAAGACGGTCGGGAAATGTTGGGGTAGGTTGAAATGGTATTTTTTGTTCAATCACATATTAAGAAAATCTTATTAGTTGTGGCAACAGCTTTATATGCTATTGCATTGTTTGTTTTGAAATGCGGGTAAAAAAAATTGTGACAACTGTAAATTGTGTACATTCACAGCATTCACATAGAAATGCCATCTAAAATGTAAATATTTATAAATGTTCATTGTGGAACAATTTTCTTTTTAGGAAGTAGCTGTCAGTAACGATTTTATCTTATTGATGCTGCGTCATTAAAAAAAGTCTATTTACGTTTTATAATGCCATTCTGAATTGCTTACGTAACTGATTGCATAACTTACGATGATGCGTTATTTTTTTTCCTTATCCGATTTGAAGAATAGAGATGTGCTAGTCGGCCCGTCACGCTATTGACTTGGACTAGCTCAGTCAGGAACTTCCAACAGGTTTTCCTCTATTTGTAAAATTATTTTAAACCTTGATGATTATTCGTTACATTAGTAATATTTTTAAAACAACCGATCTCAATATCTATAAATCAAGAATGGAGACACAGAGGAGAGGAAAGTAAGCAGTTATCCTCATTGGTGAAAGAAATTTATTGTGTAAATGTAATTGTTATTTTGATTAAATTAATTTTGTACATTGTGAAAAAATGCGTGTAATCCTAAATTTTTGTTAAAAATAAACGAAACTGAATTCTTCTGTAGATTATTTACAAGTTAAAAATATTTCGTTTTAGTAGTGAAAACGTGGTTCTGAAATTATGTTGTTTCCTTATAGAACTCAATATATTTACTCAGATTTGAAATTACAATTTTGATGTCTGTGTTTTAAAAGTAATCAATAGCAGTAACATTTCACATTGTGAAGGGAATAGAATGTTGTCTTTAAAATTATAATTAATGAAGAATATAGCCAAGAGGTGAGCTAGAGGGGTGAAAATGATTTTGCATGGAGAAGAGTTACGTGAGGACTGGATTAAAGTTTAACTCTACATCGGGTGCATTGTAAACTGTGGCTATTTCTGATAGGTGTGTGGTTAACACCTGTCACTCACATGCTTAATCTAGAGTTAAGTACTTAGGTATGAGCAGAAATTTATCCATAAAGCAGACGTTTTAGTCCAGAAGTTTTTCCAGTATAATATTGTTTCCTTATTTGTGCTGAACCTTTTCAGAACTTTCTATTTCTGCTCTCCTTTCCTGAAACATTTAATGTACACACCCCTTTCAAGCAGTCCTGTGTCATTACTGAACACAGATAAGTTTTCAGTCTGGACCAGAGCTTAAATTGCGACGGCCCCTGACTCCATTACTTCTCAAAATTTTTGGGACATATTCTAATTGTAGCTCGAGCGCACTGGATACCTGAATAAGAAGGCTGCAGCATATTTTTTATGTAACTGAACAGTTATTTTAGTAGAATTTTGATCTCGAAAAATATATTTTTAGCAATGAAATTATATTAAAAATCACGGTACTTTTCCGTTTCGCCGGCACAAATCTCGCCAAGAAGACTTTGTTGCTGACAGCATACAATATATGCATAAGAAATGTTAACAAATATTAGTTCTAAGATATTTTTATTTTGAAGGCATAAACATTTTAATATGGTTTAAAATTTTGTAAAAAGCCAATAAATAAAGGCAATAAATTTGTAAAAAGACATTAATTTAAGAATTTACTATGCTTTCATGGTTCAACATCCTGATTCGCCAGTTAGTATCACGTGACCCCAACTTATCTCACTTCGCGTAAACTACACTACAAAAATCTAATTCTCTCAGTAATTATCTACGTAAATTTCAAGTTAAATCTTAATTTGGAATACAAGTTCAAATGCAAGAATTATTTCAATTCATACGAATAGCTTACTCAGAAATTATGTAAAAACACACTGTTTTACTTCGCTAGTGCATTCTCATCAGAATTGATGAACCCTTGATTTTGCGGTGAACCCTTGATTCTTCGGGTGAGCGGTGTGATTGCATCCTAATTGACTTAATTACCGCGAATGGGCTGAGGGCATAAAATTTAATATCTTGTAAAAATTCTATGTAATTGTATGCGAGTATTGAAAGAAACAATCAATCTGATAAGAAATGGCTGCGACTGATTTTGAAAATGAAGCATAAAATGTTACCAGCGAAGATATTCCGTTGGTATCAGTTGTACCATTATTGGCGACTTTATCGTTTGCGCCGGCAAAACGGAAAAGTACCAAAATCGCTTATTAAATTTTGTCTCTTTACATTTAATTTATTTTAATTATTTAATTACTTTAACATTTAATTATTTTAATAAATAATAATAAATTTTGAATTCAATAATAATTATCAGTTAAATAATAATTATAGAATAAATATTAATTATATTAATATCAATTAAATACTTATTAATTAATTTGATACTCACTAACCAACTAATTTTTAAATTATTAATGATTTTAACAGTCATTTTATTTATTTACTCTTGTTCTCTTTCTGACAGTCTTCCATAAAGTTCCAGCACTTCTGCTTTTAGAAATTAAGCCCTGGTCTGGACGTGATATTAAAAATGCTGACCCTAGTATTCATATTGTATGGCGGAAAATATGCATAATTTTATAGTAAAACACTGTCGCAAATAATTTTTTTTGCTGTCTGAGCTATAATTTCTCTGATTTTTTCTTCTCTGAAAGAGCTCATATAACATTCATAACCCGTGCATTCAATCTGCTGTTATTGGAGGGTGCAACCAAGTTTTCACTGTGTGCAAGGTAAGTTCTGAATATGGTAAGAGTATAGTTTAGGGTACCCCTTCTTGATTTTTGGTGGTACATGGATGCCGATTTTGTGCAATTCTTTGACTCGTTATTTTGGATTGCGAAGCGGCGATTTTTGGGCCAAACTTCGCCGCTACGCAAAGCCAAAATAACAAGACAAACAATTGCACAAACTCGGTATCCATGTACACATCAACTTATTTTCACTTCAAAAAGAAATCCCCGAATTACACAAAATCGGCATTGCACACCCCTTTGACTTTATCCATGTACATGTCGACCTATTTTCACTTAAACAAAAAATCCCCGAATTGCACAAAAATGCCATTGCGCACTCTTTTAACTTTATCCATATACACGTCGACCTATTTTCATTTTAAAAAAATCCCAGAATTGCACAAACTTGCATTGCGCACTCCATTTACTTTGTCTATGTACACATACGATATATTTGTCACTTAAAAAGTCAAAGGAGCACCAAATTCTACAATTATAGGGGGAAAAAAAAAGTACATAATCTCAATAAAATACATTTTAAACCAAACAATAAAATAACATAAAAAAGGAAAAACATGTTTTACATTTAAGCACTACGAAAAGCAAATATTCACTTACCATGATTTTCGAGTTCGCTTTGTACAGCCAGAGCCACATAAAAATCAAAATATCAATCGTACTCAAATGACTTTTTTCAAACCAGGTACTCCTTTTGATCGAACGCTTCACATAGTGACCCCCTGAACCTTTCTTCCTAGAAGCCCATTCAAATCCATCTAAACGGTTTTTACGTTCGACTATTGCATAGCCTTCCTAAATACAGGACACTTATAATGGCTACTAAGTAAACCTTTATTTACACACCAATTAAAGCTCTTTTCTCCTTTCGCTCCAAATCATACAGAAACTTCCAAGTTAATCTTGCTACATTTGGCCATTCTACCGTCTAAAGAATCAAACCAACGCACACCACAAAAACGCTTACGAAACATCCCATGATTCAAAATTTCCCAGAATTATGCCCCCGATTACTTCACAATAGGGTTTCCATAACATTCAACTACTCAGGTTACCATAAATGAAACAACTTGCTGATAAATCAAACAACAACTTGGCAATAAATCAAACAACTTCGCCATAATACAAGGGGGACTTTAAAGTCTACTCTACCCCTGAATATAAATGCTCGTCATAAAAGAAATGAAGTATATTTGGTTTGGTGAAAAAGTAATCACTTCCTCTTTTGATAATTGTTTCCTCTATCTGATTTAACAACTTAATAAAATTTCATTTCCTGAAGTCATGCCAAATAGATCGAGCTTGATTTTGAATCGTTATTGTTATAATTTGTTTGATTTAGAATCCATTTCTATGAAATCTGGTCCAACCAAGTCCTGTATGTGTATTGTATTTCATTAGACAACAGCAGCACTTCATTGTCTAATGAAGAAAATGGTTTTTCAGAATGCAATGAAATGTGTTAGAGACCTTTGTGGTTACAGAAGATAATACTTGCAGTTTAATCTCACATTTGATTAAAAATCATTTTCATTTGACATAAAAGCATTATTTAATTTGATCCACAGCCCAGCTGCAATACTTCTCTTTTTTTAGAGAAATCCCAAATCCTGTCACAGGTAGAGTAGACTTTAAGGTACCCCTTGTATTATGGTGAAATTATTGTTTGATTTATCACCAAGTTGCTGTTTCATTTATGGTAGCCAGAGTAGTTGAATGATATGGAAACTTTATTGTGACGTAATCAGGTGCACGATTCTAGGAAATTTTGAATGGGATTTTTCGTAAGCTTTTTTGTGGTGTGTGTTGGTTTGATTCTTTAGACGGTAGAATGGCCGAATGTAGTAAGATTAATTTGAAGTTTTTGAACTATTTGGAGCGAAAGGGGAAAAGAGCTTTATTTGACTGGTGTATAAATGAAGGTTTACTTAATAGCCATTATAAATGTCCTGTATATAGGAAGGATATGCGTCTAGTCAAACGCAAAAACTGTTTAGATGGATTTGAATGGGTTTGTAGGAAGAAATTGCCACTACACAAGCCAAAATAACGAGTCAAAGAATTGCACAGAATCGGTATCCATATACCGCCAAAAATCGCCAAGTTTCACCAAGGGGTACCCTAAACTATACTCTTAACCCTGTGACATTACACCTGAGTCCCAAGTAGGAGGACTTTGTATGAAATTGAACCGTAGTACAGTCAAAAGTCTTTAATAAATAATCCGGAATGATCTATAATCCAGACCTCAAAGCAGCAAACTTTCTGCGCATGCATTACGCTATATGCATAATGCGCATTATGCACATGTGTAGACGCATTATACGCAGAATGTGTTTACGCATGCGCATAATACCTTTATGCATGTGCGTATAATGTATAACAGACGGTATAAGCTAAGCTAAAATAATCTAATTATCTATTTCAGTTAATGTTGCAGATTGCGTTGTTCCTTAATCTTCTAATTGTTTCAGGCTTATTATTTTTTTGCAGATTGTTAGAGCAATTTTATAAAAGTAAGCTTGAGCTTTCGATTACGTCAAAAAGAATTTCCGATTCTGAAGCTGCCAAATGATCTACAAAGTGAAAGCATGTTTCGATGTCCATCAAACAAAAAATGGGATTGCTGCAAAAAATGGATAAAGGCATATCCATTGTTTCTCTAACCATTTCGAAATCTTTTTATAAATTTCACGCTGCTCTGCGGGGGGGGGGGACGTTGCGGCATGCAATGAACTGGAAGTTGATCTGTCAGCACTATCCTTATCTTCAGGGCAGATATTTTTATTTTATTCAGCTTATAATTCCTTACTAAATGTAGTATTTCATCTCGATGTACTCTCTTGATATATTTAAATCAAATTCCTTGTCATTATAAATACCACGAATACACATCAAATAGTTTTCTAGTTGCAAGTTTTTTAATTTTGACTATGCGTAATGTATGCTTTATACATGCGTGCATTGAAAGAAATGTTTAATAAAGTAAACAAATAAATATTAAGCCTTTTTTTTTTTTTTTTGTAAATTTTGATACCTTTAGATCATAATTGCTCTTTATTTCATAAATTACAGTTTCATATTTTTGATTTTATAATTTCTGCATGCCATCTTACCAGGTTTAAACTGATGATCTATAATCCGGAAAAACCGATAATCTGAAATCGAAGTCCTGACGAGTCCGGATTAAAGACTTTTGACTGTATCAGCAGAAAATTCTGTTATTTATTCAGTATTTCTTTTAACATTTAGTTAAATTAGCGTTGTTACAAGCTACTGAATATTTGCCTCACTTTTTCTGGAAAGTGAGAAATATCCAGGAAATACTTAAGTGGATGAGAAAAAACACCCGATTCCAAAATCCAGCCTCTTCAAGAAGCATAACTGCTATAGGCTGTATCCGTCTGGTCGAGAAAGAAGGCTTCTGAAAGTAAAAAATAAGGGAATAATTTTATTTGAATGTAAAAAAAATTCTGTACAGCTTATTTATTATTTTATTTTAATATCATGTCTTGTTATTGTTGATGTATTAATGAGTAATGAAGAGAAACCATTCACTGTATTTACAAGAACAGTTGGTGTTTCTCTCATAAGATACTGATGCAAAAATTTTTTTTCTAGGTTTTGGCGTGTATTTCTAACTGCCTCTAGCTTTTCTGGCCTGTCTTATCTTTTCATGTTGAATAACTCTTTCCTTAGATGCATAACTGACTGGTTTCGATGGTGTCCAACTTCTCCTGAGCGGTTGGAAGAAGCAGAGCGAAAAATCTTTTCATGTTAGTGTACTGTTTTTTCACTTTTATTGTATTTTATTAAACTTCACATCTAGAAATATAGTTTTAGGTGATCGGTTAGTTAGTAATTAAATTCGTAGTTGGAAATATACAATGTAGCAAAATTCACAGCATACTGTTAAATTCATTGATATTATAAGCAAGCATCTGCTGTTTATTATTTTCTGTGTCAAATAGTAATTACAGGACTGCTTTCATCAACAGAGATTGTAATGTGACCTGTGTCAAATAATGGTTTTGCCACATCAGTCACAAGTGTGTGACTGTAATTATCACTAGTGAATAATCTGTGAGGATGCTATTTCTTCCCCCCATGGCTATTGCATGGATATGAATATACTGTAAATGCTGAGCTTTGATATAGACTGTTTATGCATCTAGTATGATGGGGTGACCACACATATTGCCTTTATACCACACATTTAACACACATATGCATACTCAATGCACACACACACACACACATATATATATATATATATATATACACATACGTACATATAATGTAAGAAAGGCAAACTAGCTAAACTCAAAAGGACCTGTGAGTCCTGTAGTTCTAAATTTTGGTCATAAACTGACCCATTATGAATCTTTTATTCCCTTTCTAAAACATTGTTGCTGTTAGTGCCTTTTTAAAGTTATAACTCTTCAGACTAAGAAGGTTCACCCACAAAGTTTGTAAATATGTTGACTTATAGCAATTTCTTTATTTATTTTGATGCTGTAAATTTGCCTTACCAGGCTTCTTGTATAGTTTTTCATGCGCAAATTAAGTATTTTTCATATACTTGTTAACAGCGGACGCGTCGGGAAATGAATCAGGGAAATTGAGACTTGGATACAATTAATATTTGGACTTTTTTAATAAAAAATTTGTTGGCTATGAGTCTCACTGATATGAATAACATAGAGACTATCGGTCTCATGTTAAACATATATCACATAATCCAAATTATTTTTAACTTTAGTGAAATTATAAAATGTAGATCATATATGTAGGTAAAATTTGATTTATTTTTCACTGAAGTAGTTTAATTATTCACTTTCGGTTTCAATTCTTTAATTATAATTATATTTAATTACGAAGTATAATTCTCTTTATTTAAAGTACAAATTCTAATTGAATTTTTTTTTTCCCTTGCTTTGGGGAAAGGCCAGAATTTTTGGGTGAACTATTATAATTAAAATACACTGAAATGGTTCATCGGCTAATTCTGGATACAGAAAAGCAAGGATTCTTGTAGAAGAGATATTTTAATGTTCTTTTTTTCTAATGAAGTAGCACTGAAGTTGATTGAATTACACTTCTGTTATGTTCTGTTTTCTTTTAATTTCTTTAAAGATTTTTTTTGATTGGGTTATTGATTTTTAAAAGTTTTGGTTTTTACATTTATTAAATTCTTTTTTGCACTTATTAGATTATTTTAAATTTATTAATTATGAATTTCAAAATTTTCGTCTTTGTAAAACATTAGTTCTTACTTTCTTACTTTATATAATATATATTACATGTTTTAATTTTTACTTTTACAATTGTAATATTATTCTTCGTGATGATTTAACTCCAGTCCCCGTTAAAACATTATTAACATTTTGCTTTCAAATTACTTCAAAACATCTTTCAAAATATAACTTACCAGTATGGATGCACACTTTTAAAATAATTCTACTTTAATTAAACTTAGGAGATAATATAATCAATTAATCAATACTGTTTAGGAAATAAATTATTATTAACTAACTTTGCAGCAATTGCGCAAGTAATAATAACTTGTATTCGCACTAAATGGATTTAAGTTCATACAACATTATATATATATGTTCTTCTTATAACATCACTTGACCTCATCTGGTCTCCCAATATGTGGTAATTTTTTTTTCTTTGTAAGGATACTTCAAAGCATTTTTCAAACACATTATTTGAATAGAAGGAATGCATCTTAGCTGCAGTCACCAGTATCCCTGGTAGTGTGTTGTGGATAGTATTTGAGAGCTGGAAGGATGTGTAATGCAGCAAGGCCATCATTTCAGGGGGGGAATCATATTCCACCCAAGACTGATAAATGGCACTACTGTACCTGCTATTTGGTATAGAAAATAATTATAATAAAAAACAGTGGTTTTGCATATGGCATGATTTTATTAATATGATGTGAGCCTCATCCTATATTTTTAGATGTAAAATTTTACCAAACTATTTGACATATTTTTATAGATATCTGATAAATTAAGATTGAATATCAAAAGTTTTCATAACATGTTCACGGCGGAGCCAATTTTTATGTTCTATGGCGTGAGACTGCGCTCTAATTTTTGCTGCGTTTCATCTGGCGGCGCGCGGTTATTACCTGTTCAAACCTGTATATGAGTTGTACGTTTGCTAATAGTTATTAATTATAATTGATATTAAAAAGGTTTTATAACAAATAAATGTTAATTTTTTATTATTTTAATTTTCAGCTTCTAATAACATAATCGAATGCCTACCACTGGTGGCATTCCCCCCCCCCCCCCCCCCCGATAAGACAGACTAGTGCAGGCCACTGGTGGGTATGCATTGCCCGATGAGACAGACTAGTGCGGACACCAGTGGCATGCGCCGCCCAATGAAACAGACTAGTGCGGACCACAGGTGGCCCGTGCCGGCGTGAACGTGTTAAGCAGTTTTGATATTTGTTTGTATACATAATTTACCCAAATGTCAATAAACATTTAAAAAATTTGTTTCAGCAAATTCACTGCATACAATAAGGCAGTCAGCAAAGACCTTAATGAAATTTGTTTTTTCCTGTATTATAAATTTAATTATAAAGACTTTTTTATTATAATTATTTCCATCTAATAGTGTCACTTCTCCTAATCTAGAATATATGGCTGTATTTTTTAATCGTTTAAAATCAATGTTATGTTGACATTTCTACAAAATAACGTTATTCTTAACTTAGTTTTAAGGCAAGCATTGGGTTTTAGACATTCATGCAAAATGGATCATCACCGGGTATTGCTTCCCTTTACTTTAGATGAAATGGAGTAATGACCTGACACTTCCAGTATGAATGATTGTCTCATTACTGTGATTTTGGGGTTGCAGGGTTCTTAGTATGGAAATCATCCATACATCACTGCCATTATTAAGGAAATAAACACAATGGCCTGTAGCAGTGATCCACATTAGAATGCTTCTTTTGTTGTCCTTTCATTGTAGCTCATTTCTTGCCAATATTCAGTAATGATGGCCACCATACACAGCATTTTTTATAGATATATTGCATTTTTTTAAACAGACAATGTGCCATCTGATAAACAATACTGTAATTGAAATATTTTCATGCTAAGATTTTTTTAAATAAAGCCACAATTTTATACATTTCTATCCTAATTAAATTATTGTGTGTTTTTAAGAAAAAAAATGGTTGATTAAATTTGATTTCACAGCATATTCTTAAAAAGGAATAGGTTGAGCTTTAAAATATTTTTACATCTACATATAAAATTAATGCTTTAAGAGAGAAGCCTCTTCTCTGGAAGGAAAAAAGTGAACAAAAAAATGCAGTAGAAATGTTTGAACTAGAGTTAATGTAAATCTGTTATTACATATGGCTTTATTGGAAAGATCAATCCAAACATATAAAATAGCTCAAATATCACACAAGAACAATGATAAATAATAAAAAAGAACAAACATTTAAAGTAAGAATCACAATAAATGAACATGGGAACAAAGTAGTCTTTATAGGAGTTCATGAAAGCTCTGATATTCCAGTATAGTTTACTTATCTCACCACATTTCTGAGACTTTATTTAGTTCTGGGTGTATAAGAAGATGCCCTGTATTTATGATGCCCTTAATCTCCGAATTGGATCCGGCTGATTATTTTCTGCAGACTGTTAGAGCAATTTTATAAAAGTAAGCTTGAACTTTCAATTATGTCAAAAAGAATTTCTGATTCTGGAGCCGCCAAAGGATCTACAAAGCGAAAGCATGTTTCGATGTCCATCAGACAAAAAGTGGAATTGCTGCAAAAAAGTGGATAAAGGCATATCCTTTGTTTCTCTAACCATTACAAAATCTTTTTATAAATTTCACACTGCTGTACGGGGAGGGGGGATGTCACGGCGCGCAATGAACTGGAAGTTGATCTTTCAGCACTATCCTTATCTTCAGGGCAGATGTTTTGATTTTATTCGGCTTATAATTCCTTACTAAGTGTAGTATTTCATCTTGATGTACTCCGTCTTTGATATGATTTAAAGCAAATTCCTTGTCATTATAAATATCACAAATACACATCAAATAGTTTTCTGGTTGCAATTTTCTAATTTCAACTATGCGTAATGTATGCTTTACGCATGCGCACATTGAAAGAAATGTTTAATAAAGTAAACAGATAAATATTAAGCTTTTTTTTTTTTTTTTTTTAATTTTGATACCCTTTAGATCATAATTGCTCTTTATTTCATAAATTACGGTTTCCTATTTTTTATTTTATAATTTCTGCATGCCATCTTACCAGATTTAAATTGATGATCTATAATCCGGAAAAACCGATAATCCAGAATCGCCGAAGTCCCGATGAGTCCGTATTAAAGACTTTTGACTGTAGTTACTTTTGCTTATTTAGGAGCACATAATGTTAAAACAAGTTAACTGCCAAATCAGTGTGAATAAAAAATTCAAAATAAAATATACAGATCTAAGTGTATTGGGCATAGTAGCATTATTTTGGAATTTTCACAAAACTTTAAAAATTTTGTCAGAAAATTCGTTTCCTATTTAACATATTATTTTTGTTTAAAGTTATTTATTAGATTTTTTTTTTTTTTTTTTTTTTTTTTTTTTTTTTTTTTTTGTTTACTGTTGCTTATTTCTAGATGAGTAAATTCATATGTGTAGAAAAATTGAAAGTTCAGATTTCAAAGACTTCCCTTGTCAGATATCTTATTAAATGTTAAATTATAATAAACAAAAACTAAATAATAAGAATTTTAATTATGTTTTACTGTAGTAAACTTCGTTTTACTGTGTAATTGCTTTATTTTATAATTGTGATGGTTCATTTTGTTTTTATTATAAAGGAATCTTAAAAGATATTAGTAAAATCAGAAAAGGCTTTAATTATCAAAATTCAGTAGTATTACAGAAGTTAAAATAAGCTTCAAGTGTGCCATGGAAAAAAAAAAAAGGTCTTATGATAAAATGGTGAGTGAAGGGAAATGCCAATTGTAAATGTGCAAAAAGAGAATCTGGCATATTGTTACGTTTTTCCTTTTCTGACACCAGTTGTTGCGTTATTTTCTTCGTTCACGTTCGTATGGGGTTTGTGGATTTCAAGTGAATAACGACGACACTTGATGAAGTATCAAAACACACTTTATTTAGCCAATGTTAATCAGAACAACTCTAATAACACTTTTTACAGTCATCTGAGATCTACTATAAACATGTTGGAACAATCAGTGACACAGCCTTCACACTGTCAGGCAATAACGGTGGAGACAGCCTCACTGCAAAGCACCCGAGTACAGCTTCCAACTCTGCTTGGTTGTTCTCAGAACTCCACGTACTCTTGAGACTTTCCACACGATGCACTCAATGATACACAAGAGTATAGCTCTCGACGATGCACTAAAAGATTCTCTCGATGCACTTGACGACCACCTCGGCGCTAGACTTCGAGACACTTGCTCAATGACTGACTATCAGCTCGTTAGACGAGGCACACACTAACTGACTGCAGACCAGCAGGGTTTATACAGCTTTCGGCTTGTGTTCGAGAACTTCTGGGCTAAACTGGTAAGAATTCGTTCCAGAAGGTTCTCCGTCCGTCCATGGTATATTGCCAATTCTGTCGCCAAATGGACGATTTATCGCAAAATGTGGCAACCTTGCCTTTCCTTGCCATTTTTATGGCAACCCTAAAACTGCTTTGCGGGGAAGTCATCTTATCACGCCTGTACATTTCGTAATATTAAATTTACTGTATTTTATCAAATGTAATTATGATCTGCGCTTCCTCAAATTTACATGTTGTTGTTAGGAGTATATTTTCCTTCATTTATGTTTCACATGTAAAACACATGTGATTTTTCACATGCAGCTTTCCCTAATTAGGTTTTTGCATGCATGATTTTTGTGAGGCATGCACATTTTTGTACTTTTATACTGTACTTGTGCTATAGTAATTTTTATTTTATGTGAATTCAAATTTTACAGTGTATAAAATTTAGTCTGTTTATACATCAGTTTCCTTTAAAGCTGAATTTAAATATTTTTGTAGAGTGTAAGCTATATTATACAGGATATAACGATAAGCATTATTTTTCATATTTAGATCTCAAAACACCTCATACATTGGAATTTGTGCATATAGCTGTTGATGATCATGGAAAAGAATACAAAATTAGGTCTTTAAGAATTAATAACTGTACAAATGAAAAAAGTACTCCACTTGTTCTTCTTCATGGGTTTGCTTCTGGAATTGGTCTGTGGATCTTAAATTTATTCAGTCTATCTCAAGATCGTCCTTTGTATGCTCTAGATATCTTAGGTTTTGGCCAGAGTTCAAGACCTTTATTTAGTGGTGATGCTGAAGTTGCAGAGATTCAGATGGTTGAAAGTGAGTGAAAAATCATCTTTTATTGTGTAAAATTAATTTTTTTAAATATTTTGTTGTTTGTGGTATTGCAGAGATTTAGCTTTCTTAGCATAAAATTTATTGTTTGATAGAGTAGGTAAATTTTTTATGGTAATGTAAAATAAATAATATGCTAACAAAAGTCTGGGTGTTGTTTTTTATTTGACATGGACAATTTTATATTTGTTTGTTTGTTATTTAAGAATGATGGCAAATCTGTGTTATTTTAAATTATGGGCATGGTAATATTTTAAGTTTTAACCCTTTTCATATTTAATTGTCTCTTCAGCCAGGCCATGTATGTACACTGCGCAGAGAAAAAATAGGACAGTGCTATATCTCCTATTCTACTGGGCTGATTGACAAAATTCAAACTGCATTTTTCATGTCTTGAAAGCGTGACTTAGGATATATATTAGATTTATATATAGCACTATTCTAACATAGGTATTTTGACACAAAATTGGACTTTTTCTGAAATTGCATACCAATTTTTTTCCATATTTCGATTCTATGACACAAATTATGCCAGAATGCCAAGTTTTGTAAAAATCGTACAAGTAGTTTTTAACTCGATGTTAATTGAATTTGGCAAATATTTATTAATATCTCTATTTTTATTAAACTTTTCTTTTATTTTTTTTCACATTTCGAAATTTAGGTTCATTCCAAATAAAATTTACCCATTTTTTGTGTTTCAATTTTTAAATAATTTTTAGAAATTTTTCGAAAAAAATTTTGAATTATAATTTATAAAATTTTTACCATCATCTTAAAGTAGGTGTATTTCTAAGAATACCTGCAAAAATTTAGACTTTTTTTATTCAAAATTTTCACATTTTGAATTTTTTTTTATTAAAAGAAACACAAGTTCCCCATGTACCACATAGTATCACATGGGGCTTACAGAAGTAAGTATGAAACACAATAACAAATTTCAAACACATTTTGGAATTTGGCATCCTTTTTTTAAGCGATAATAATGCCAAATGTGGTTATGGATTTTTGTTACAGTGAATTGCCACAGCTATTTTAACCTTAAATTTCAAATAAAATTTTACGGAGAATTAATTATATGAAATTTTTTCCCTCAGTGATGCATAATAAATATTTATAAATACTACATGAAAAGCTATTTTTTGCTTAATTATAGATGATATTATTCACATTTTTAACTACTTTTTAAATTTCTCTCTTTCTTCCTTTTTTAAAAAATATATTTGTAAGAGTAAATTTTTATCTTCAGCGTTTTATCGTCTGCTACTACAATTAACTTCATTTAAATCAAATTGTCTAAAACTGAGAACTTTCATTTGATGTTTATTTGAAATTTATGAAAATATTTTATGACATTAACTGCATAATTTATTTCTAAACAAGCTGTTGCTTATGAAGTGGCTGAAAGAGCGGCTGATACTATCATCCATATTTTTAAAGCACAGTATATTTTTATAGAAACATAAGATTTAGAATAATCATTTTTATGAAAGTCAAATTATGATATAAACAACATACAATCCTCTAGAGACCGAATTAATGGAAGTTCAATGGTTATGTAGAAATGATCTGCAGCTACTTAATCGCTGGATAAGTCAGCAAGTTCTGTAGACAAGTAAGAATAATTATATAAATGACACTTACCATTCTGGATTCAATTAACGAGGGTACGATGTTTATTAAATGAATTTAAGAAAGTTTTTAAACATCAAAAATCCACTCATTTTTTATCCTAAATGTATTTTTATGCTTAACGTATTTTCATTATATCCTTAAAATTCTAATTTAGAATGTAATTGTCAAGAACTGAATTCTAATCATCAGTAATATAATAAGTAATTATTACCGTTATTAATAAATCCTTCATATAAAGTAATTGCAAATATTTCAAAAACCTTTCTTGTCTGAGTGCAAATATTTCTCTTTTTATATTAATCAAGATTGCATATGATATTATTTATTTGCACTTCAATTCTTACCTTCAGCTCTAGTAGAAGTTACAAATCAATTATATTTAATTAATTAATGACCATCTAAGTTTAGAAACAGCATACCGTAACAGCAATTCAATTATTGGCGCCGTATCTTTCATGTTACTCCCGATTGTCAAGCTACATGATTTTTAATGAGTATTCGGGTTTTGCTAGTAACTTCACTTGGAAATCGCGCTTAAACTAGGTTAGTTGGTTATTTGAATATAGAAAGAACATGGGAGCTATTTGGTTAAGATGCTTTCATAGAGAACCTTTGTAAAGAGAACCTAGAAAACTACGAAAACCAGCCATGCAGCCTGGGTTAGGCTTCACAACAAACAATTAGTATTTAACAATCTTCAAATGCTAGGCAACTGGTGAGGCTCCAAGTAAATCTCCAATTTAATATTATATTTGCAAATATTTAAAATATTGTTGTATTCTTAGACACAAAAAGTAGAATTTAAGTTTCGTTAACTCGTTAGTAAACTACCAAGCCGTAGTGCAAATGAATATTCAATTTCTTTTGCAGTAATTGTATTCACTTAATATTCTTGGAATATGAGCTAATGAAGGAATGTTCTCGGAAGATTAAAGAAGTGTTTAAATCCAGTGATGTTAGGTTTGTCTTACAAGCTCAGGTATCAAAACGATTCAGCAATTGCCCTAGTATTGACTTGTAAATGGCTGTGAATTAAGCAGATGACTTTTAATTTTTACATTATTCAGTCAGAAAACGTATTCCAAATGTTTTGTATTGCATGACAATGCATCTTTTCATTATTCAATAACCAATTAGAGAACCGCATGTGTTCCGAAAATAAGTATGTGTACTCAATCGTCCTGCATGTTCTTCGAATTTGTCTTCTTATGATTTTTTTTCTTTCCCTAAAACTAAAGTGGCCTCTCAAAGGAAAGTTTTTTGACATTGAAGAGACAAAAGGAGTATGACATCTACTTTAAGAGGCATGTCGAAAACAGATCTCTACAAGCCTTCTCTTCCGTTACATGTTGTGCATTCAAACAAAAAGTTGCATCAGCGTAAATTCTATAATCTATTTTTATTACTCTCTGATTACTTTATTAACATACAATGAATATATACTAAACCTTTTACTTCAGCTTCAGTAATTTGGAATTATTGTCGGAACTAGGACTTAGATGATAAGTCGAATTGAATATTTCGATAATCCAATAAATTCAAGGTCGAAGTTTCAATATTTTATTTTCAGAGGGAGGGGAAATTTTTTCAGTTTTGGTCCATTAGCCTAAGTATATTTGCTTCGATTCTTAATTTTTTCCAAAAAAGTGAAAATCTTGTGCATGGTATACATATAACGCATAGCTTCAAATTAAAATTTAATAATATACAGGGTGGTTATAATTAAAGTTCCACTTTGAAACGGTCATAAAATGAAATTGCTATTGGCTATGGGGTTATCTCAAAAGCACTGTTTATAGTGATAATCTAAACAATTTGGCAGAAATGAAAAATGTGATACACCAACATGTTCGTAACATTCCTCCTGATATGCTAAGAGTTGCCGTTGAGAATGCAGTAACCGGATTTAACTTGCTTTCGGAAAATGCTGATTGCTACATTGAACATGCTTTGTAACATATTTCGGAAACAATTAAACACATTTTAAACCGATGTTTTCATGTCTTATTTCATTTAACAATATTGCATGCAGTGCCATTTTTCCCTGGTGGTGAGTTTTGAACTCAAATAAATTCCCATAACCTCCTTTACATGATTCCCAAGTTTGATAACATTTGGTCTGGTAGTTTTCCTTTTATGACCATTTCAAAGTGAAACTTTAATTATAACCACCACGTAAAGTAAACTTTAAAAGTTTGACAGTTTGCTTCAAGTCCCAGCTTTAAAAATATATGTATAAATTATACTATTTTTAAATATATAATATATAAATATAAATTTTTATATTAATTCTCTTAGAAAGGCAATGTTTTAAGAAGCTAATTTTTTCTTTCTCTCGCGTTATAGATTGTATAAGAAAACGTGATCTCTAATATGATTTAGATTGTTTCAGGCGATATAAGAACCGCGTCACTAGGTGGTACAGAATAAACACTGTTGGGCTGTTTTATTTCTTTGTCATTTAGCAAAAAATATTTTAATTAAAATATTTATCCTTTGAACTTCGCTTTAAACTTTATTTATAGTTAAAATGACTAGAAAATGAAAAGCTGTCTTCAGCTGAAACGCAATTCATGGAATTGATATTTTAAAAAAATTGACAAGAATGCAAAATTTATGGAAGTCTAGCAATCGAAAAATCTTAATTTTCTTGTGTGAGCACTGAAAATAACTGTAGAAGAAAAGATGAAAATTAAGGAGAAAAGTAAGCAAAAGGTTGCAGGGAAATTTGGCTGTCAGACATACCAAGATGTTTCATAAAGTTGGACGCTTTTGAATATACTTTCAGGATACTTCAAAGAATTTAGGTGTTCAAAGAGAAAACACTTTGATGTGTACACCAGCTCTATACCATCAATTCAGCTTCTGTTAACAGAAAAGACAAAAACAATATCGTTGCAGATTAAAGTGAAGAGCGACTGGTTTTAGATTATATGGTAGTATAAATTTAAATTATGTTATATATCATATCATAAACGGAGAATCCCATGATTTCTCAGTTGAATTATTTGAAGATTCAGGAGTTTATCCAGTGATGTATGTGGATGTCACTTAAAGAGTTTTTTCCCCTCCTGATGAAACAGCGGCCGAGTGGTAAAGTTGCTGAACACTGGTAGTTCGTTCTGAGGTTTGAGTCCCGCGAACGGGCTGGCTGCGTGGCCGCTTTCGTGGTTTTCTCCATGTGTAATGCGTATACGAGCCAGTTTCCCTTAGAAAATCCTCCACGAAGGCATCCCTCCCCTTAGGCAGATAGCCCTTGTGCACTTTCTCATAATTAAATAAACCAAAACCTCTTGATGAAACCAATCTTTCCTTTCATTTCATACCTTAAAAATGACTGATAAAGGCTCTTTCATCAGTATTTGGTCATACTTTCAAAATGACTGATAAAGGCTCTTTCATCAGTATTTGGTCAGAGCCTTAAAGGCTCTAACAAAATACTGATGAAATGGATTGAATTGGATTATTAAGTTATGGCAAAGCAGGGTTATCTGCCTAAAAGGAAGGATGCCCTTGTGAAGAACTTACACATGAGAAAAATCCATGAAAACGCCCATGCAACCAGCCCGTTTACCGGGATTCGAACCCCGGATAGAACTACCAGTGTTCAGCGACTTTACTGCTCAGCCGTTTGTGAGTCTTTATGAAATGGAAGGTGATAACTTTATTTAAAATGATTGTCAGAAATACCAAGATGTTTCGAATAGTTGGATGCTTTTTAATATACTTGCAGAATGCCTAAAGAAAAAAAGGAAGAATGAAGCAGAATGCCAGAAGAAAAAAATAAATTTTTGCATAAAATTTAGTATTTGATTTTTTTTTAATTTAAAACTTTTTTATCTTATGATATTTGATTCTTGCGATTTCAAAAATAAAATATTTGACTAAAATATGAATAACATTTTAAGAAATCAAATGAAGGATAAAATTGTGTAAAGCAATGGGCACAATGATAAAACTGTTTAAAGCAGTGTATGCAAGTCATCCTAAGTTAAAATGTTGATTATACATCTCTCTTATATATATATATATATATATATATATATATATATATATATATCTTTTTCTGAACGGAGCATTGTTAACTGTGTTAACTGGGCTTTACTGTATTTTCTCTTTTAATATATGCAGTTTTCAAATGCATTGTAGTCTGGGTTACAAAGTATTCTTCCAAAAGAAACACAATTCAAATAAATAAAATAAAATTCTGGAAAATTTATATTAATAAATATATTTAAAATGCTCAGTTTGAATGAATAAATAGATTAAATTTTAAAATAATTATCTGAAGAGACAATGCAACACTAACAGTTAAAATAAAATTCTAAAAATTACCTAAAATAGTAATTATGACTAAAAATATAGTATAAAGAAAACTATTTGAAAAAAAAAAAAAAAGTAAACGATGCACCTTTGATTTAAACTACGCAGTTCGAATGAGTAAATAGAAATTTTTAAAACAGTTATTCGAAAGAAACCATGCAACTTAAACAATTAAAATGAAATTCGAAAAAGAAAAAACACTTAAAATAATAATAACTTTTCAGATAGTTATTATAACTTAAATTTATAATAACTATCTGAAAAAAGGAACGATCGTGACTTTTCCCCCTTCACGTACGAGGTAGAAAGGAAAAGGAAACTAGGTTGTCATATATTAAGAAGTTCGCCAAGTGAACTATTCTTGGCGCAACTGAAAAAAAAGCGGCAACATAAACTGTTGAATTTTTCCGTAAATTTTGCACCAAATTTTACAAAATTTAGTATCTAGGCATAATTTGAAAATGAAGAAGAAAATAAAGGAGAGGGAGTTTCAGAAACACGTGGTCCTTATCAGCACTGCACGTGGTTATAACTGGATTTTTAATCAGAGTTGCACTGGCCGCCTACTTTTACTGAGCCAGGCTATCTGATCAAGCATAAAGGACAAGAAAAATTAGCGAAGTTAAAATAGGGAGCGAGGGGCAAATGCAACATAAAATGTTGAATTTTATTTGAAGTTCAGATTTTGAGCTTGAAGGTGCATTTGCCCCTCGCTCCCTATTTTAACTTCGCTAATTTTTCTTGTCCTTTATGCTTGATCAGATAGCCTGGCTCAGTAAAAGTAGGCGGCCAGTGCAACTCTGATTAAAAATCCAGTTATAACCACGTGCAGTGCTGATAAGGACCACGTGTTTCTGAGACTCCTTCTCCTTTATTTTCTTTTTTCTAGGTATTTCTTTCTCCTGATGAGGAGGGGACCTTTAGCTGCCCTCGAAATCGATTGAGTGTTTCATTATCCTTACGCTAAATACAAGGTTGTTTTTTACGATTTTGATTGTCACATTAGCGTGTTTCTCTTCTAGTCTAACCATAAAAGTTCTAGAGTAAGTGCAGTGCTGAGGGCACAGAATTTATCTTGTTCAAAGAGGATTGTATTATCAACTGAGGCTTAATCACATAGGTGGCCTAAATGCCATTAAAACAACACCTTACCATTTATTGAACTACAAGGAGACATTATAAGTACCAATATTCTGATGCTGAGATGACTTCAAAGCATTGTGGCAGTGAAGGGAGGAACTTTCATAAAATGAAAAACTAAATAACCATTTGAAAACAGTGTAATACAGAATGATTTGCACATATATAATTTTGTATATATAGTTTCAGTCTGCAACAAGTAATTCATATTAAAATATGATTAAAATAATAATTTTAAAAAAATTGTTATACATTTTTATTGTGTTATAAATAATGCTCCATAGATGCTGTAAACTTTTGAATGTTAAAAATGTTGCTTTATGTGTTGACAGATTTTATTATCTTTTTTAATCAGAAGTAGCTGCAACCTTCCATTTTATCCATATTTCAGTTATCTGTGCAGAAATCCGTGTTACGTTGGATTATTGGAGTTATAAATACATGGTTTTCAATATTATTTTTATACTGAAATGAGAATTTGGATGAAATTAATGCTATCTTTAACTGTGCTTTTACTGTTTTGTTGCATAATAGACTGAAAATGCTATTGTGCTCAGCTTATAATTTTTCATATTTTTTGCGAGGGATAATGGATAAATTTTTGCAAGTTGCATCTTACTTGTGCAATCAGCTTATTCCTGTACCTTAGGATATGGAAATTCCAAATGGGTGAACAAACAGTATATAAATGATTATATTGCAGGGCACCCTTATCTGGCAATATGGGAAGTAGAAATCATCTTACAAAATTATAGCAAATAAATGTTAAACCACCTTACAAAATACTAGCAAATATATATTTACCACCTCGCAGAATTCTAGCAAATAAAATATTGTACTAAAATTCTTTTTTAATTCACTATATGTATGAAATATCAGTAAATTTGTATTATCAATTTATTAATATTTCATGTATTTAGACCATAAATGCATGGAAAATATAAAAAATTACACATAAAATTTACTTTCCAATTTTTGTGTATTCACTTCAGTAGAATTTCCTTTGAAATAATTACATTGAAAGAAATGTTTACTAAAGTAAACAAATAAATATTAAGCTTTTATTTATTTATTATTATTATTATTATTATTTTTTTTTTTGGTAAATTCTGATACCATTTAGATCATAATTGCTCTTTATTTCATAAATTACATTTTTGTATTTTTAATTGTATAATTTCTGCATGCCATCTTACCAGATTTAAATTGATAATCTATAATCCAGAAAAACCCCTAATCCGGAATCGCCGAAGTCCCAACGAGTCTGGATTACAGACTGTACTGTATTTGTCATTTTGCACTCTTTGTTGGTGGAAAAATGACATTAACGTAAAAATGTATTGTTACTTTTATTTATATTGCAATATATGATGTTAAATAAAAAACAAATATTTCTCAGTAGAACATTTTATTGTAGTAAATGCTTTGTATGACTTAGTATAAAACTATTAAAATATACTTCACTGACAACAAAATGTGCTGCTAGATGTTTATGCATGCTTTTTTTCCTCTCTTCAGGTATTGAGCAATGGAGAAAACAGATTGGATTGAATCATTTCATATTATTAGGTCACAGTTTAGGTGGTTTTTTAGCTGCATCATATGCCATTAAATACCCTGAAAAAGTTAAACATTTAATTTTAGCTGATCCTTGGGGTTTTCCTGAGCCTGACTTAAGTGTGAAGAAAATCGAAATACCTATGTGGGTGAAGTTGATTGCATTCATGCTTCGCCCTTTTAATCCTTTAGCTGGATTAAGAGCTGCTGGACCATGGGGTATATGTCTTCTTTATATATTATGTAATTTGAACAAATGCTATGCTGATTATGAAATATATGTTTCAGTTATTTTGAAGTTATATATATATGTTTAAGAAATACTAAAATATTCAGTAATATTTAACAAAGTGTGTCAGCATTTTGATTAATCTCCAGAGTACACTTTTGTAATAGAATGCAGCTGAAAATCTTCAGCAATATATAGAGGTATATATTTTAAAGCATGTGGCAAATTAAGACAGATGCGTTTTCTTATGGGCATAGGTTGCAACTTTTATCAGTTATAATTTGCATGTATTAAATAATTAACAGATGAAAATATTAAGAGAAATTAAGTTTTAAATATCTGTTAGCAATAAAAATATAGGGTTTCCATTTAGAAGTACTTTTTGATGGGTTACTGCACAAAAAATAACTACTTGAATGCTAAAATTTAAGAGAAATATGCCTCAATATTTACCAAAAGTTAGTGAATTTTTTTCTGTTATAATTTTGTAATGTTGATAAATTCTGATTAGTAGCCAGTTTTATGTCAAGTTGCCTTTAAAAAAATGAATGAGGTAAAGAAGAAATGGTAGTTTGAGCATAGTAATCTTGGATATTCTAAACTTTAATTCCAAAATAATCCATGCATTTGATATCAGGTAACTGTAAAGGGATAGGAGTGGTACCCTTCATTCTATTCGCTTACCACCAATAACTGCATCTCATGATTCTGGTGCATATAGTTTCCAGTGAAGCCATTATTGTCTTGTCAAAACAAAGAAGTTAAATTGAAACACCTCAAAGTAAATTTCATTTCTGTTAAGTAGTTTTGTACACCTCTTAAGCATGAAAAGTTTCATGTTAAAAAACAGTGCAATATTGATTTTCATATACCCATTTCCTAACAGGTTCATGTAATGCATACAGATTTTCTCAAAATTTCCCATTACACATTTCTGTGAATCTCCTGAAACTTTAAACGCACTTTAGTTTTATATTTTTTTCCAGAAATACTTTCAGTATTTTCTTATTAAGTTATACCTTTTTAAATCCATGACAAAGCCATCTCTGAGTTGATATAACTAATGACTACACAACAGCATCTTCCCTCCTTCATGTGATATCATACTGTATTTCTTGAGATGGTATTATATGCATGTCTAGATTAGTCTATTATATTCATGTCTAGATTAGTCTTGCAATAAAGCAGATTTAATAAGTAATAGGTCAGCATTAAGTTATCTTTCAATAATATTTTGTTAATGATTTTTGATACTTAGTACATTTAAAAACAAGGTAACCTGCAGAAATCAAATATGCTCTTGACTTTAAAATCTCTTGTATTGATCTTCAGATTTGATTGTAATAGGTAAGATTAAAGCATTTAACTTCATCCTCTAAGATACAAGCTGATTTTCAGGGGAAAATACTGTTAAATTTCTTTTTTTCTCACTGTGTGTACAAAATGTAGTTTAGTTTCTTCTCACATGGTAGACCATAAGCCTTGACACTGAAAGAAACTTAGAAGATAACTTTCATAGCAATGAAAGAAACTTAGAAGATAACTTTCATAGCACTTATTTAGGGGCAATGCAGAGCTGCTTTCAGATGCACTATTTTTATGAAACTGTTAAAATTATTTAAAAAAAGTTCTGCTTTAGTAATTTGAACATTAAATGTGAATTAATAAAAACAAGTAGCACTACTTGCTTGAAATCATTGACATACCAATAATAAGACATATTATAAGCCATGCCAACCAATCACATGAGCTGTATGGAAGCCATTTCGCTTTCAAAGCCATCCAACTTTTCCACTTTTCTTCACTGTCACTCATCTCAGCCAAACTTGCATTTGAAAATGGTAATATGCTTTCTTTATTATTACCTTTTCAAATGTAAGCAACAATTCATGGATGCCATCATGTAATCATGTTTGTTTACATTGTGTTAGGCACTTTATAATAAAAGGGCTGTCCTGGTTTGCCAATTTCTACTAGCTCAAAATGAATGTATCTGGATATTCCAACCGATAAACTGTTCGAGGCAGTCCTCCCCAAACTGTGCACCAAGTCCTCTTTACAAAGATGGCATGAAATATTGTAAAATCTTCATAATTAAGTGAACCAAAACATTTGGCTTAACCCATTAACCGCTGGTGTTGCGTTGACGCAACAGTAAAAATTAATGCGCATATAAATATAACTACCTAAGATATTTTATACCAGTAGATGATTTTGTGTAGGGAATATTATGAAGATTATTTCTGTAAAAAAATATTTGCCTTCAACAATCATTTTGTTATATAATAATTAATCTTAATACTTTAAGCAAAATTTTCGACCGGGTATTTTTTGCTGAAAATATTTAACGAAAGATTTCACCGTCTTTATGAAGTGATCTATTTTGTAGTCAAGGTCACCGTTTATCAGAACATTACATCAGTCAGATGTTTATATTTATGTTGGGAAGGAAGGGAAAATAGGTGTTGCGTTGACGCAACGTCAGCAGGAAACGGGTAGTCAATCTCCTTTTTCACTCATTCCTTTCGATGTTCTGGTTCATGTGCTGGTTGTTTCAAAATGCCTGGAACGAGGTATCTTACATTAGAAGAAGCCCTTTAAAGATTTTTTAATGAAGAAACAGATGATGATAATGTTAATAATGAACAGAATGAAACTGATATTGTTGTTGTTTCCCCAGAAATTGCAGATGCTAGTGACGAAGAAGAAAGGAATGGCAATGTTTTAAATAATGATAATGATATTTTCCTAAATGATACTACTGGGGAAGTTGAAATTCACGTAACAAATAAATTTCAGCCTTCTAAAATCAGTTACAGTCATACTAAAAAGTTTTAAAAACAGAAGACTGAAATCTTGATGTGGATAAAAAAGGAACTGTTAGTTATGTCTCAGGAAGAACATGAAGAAAGAGATAGAAGAGAAATTATAAAAGACAAAACACAAGGTAAAACTAGTGCACAGATTTTCGATTTTCTTTTTGGCTTAGACATTTACTCTCTTCTCGTTGAACAAATATATACGCTAAGAAAAAAAAAAAAAAAAAAAAGCCCATAACTTATTGCATCTGAAGTCTCAATGTTGCTTACAGGATATCATTCTTAACCTCAAGAAAAATGTATTGGTCTTTTAATAAGGACATTTCTGTTCCTGTTGTACAAGGATTGACAACACGTTTACAGTACAGGAATATGAAGTAGAATTTGCATTTGACAATAGTCGAATTGACAGTACTGATAAATTATAAGAGGTGAGACCATATCTAAACTTACTAAATATTACCTCTTTTTAACTACTGAAAATATAAAGTCTCTTTTAGATTCCTGACGCAAGAATGCATTACAGTCAAAAGTTTTTAATCCGGACTCGTTGGGACTTCGGCGATTCCGGATTATCGATTTTTCCGGATTATAGATCATCAGTTTAAATCTGGTAAGATGGCATGCAGAAATTATAAAATTAAAAATATGAAACCGTAATTTATAAAATAATGAGCAATTATGATCTAAAGGGTATCAAAATTTACAAAAAAAGAAGCTTAATATTTATTTGTTTACTTTATTAAACATTTCTTTCAACGCGCGCATGCGTACCTTACGCATAGCCGAAATTAGAAAATTGCAACCAGAAAACTATTTGATTTGTATTCGTGATATTTATAATGACGAGGAATTTGATTTAAATCATATCAAAGACGGAGTACATCGAGATTAAATACTACATTTAGTAAAGAATTATAAGCCGAAAAAAATAAAAACATCTGCCCTGAAGAAAACATGTGCCCTGAAGATAACGATAGTGCTGGCAGATCAACTTCCAGTTCATTGTGTGCTGCAACTTCCCCCCCCCCTCCGCGCAGAGCAGCGTGAAAGTGAAATTGATAAACAGATTTCGGAACGGTTAGATAAACAAAGGATATACCTTTATCCATTTTTTGTAGCAATTCGTTTTTTGTTTAATGGACATCGAAACATACTTTCGTTTTCTAGATCCTTTGGGAGCTCCAGCATCGGAAATTCTATTTGACATAATCGAAAATTCAAGCTTACTTTTATAAAATTGCTCTTACAGTCTGCAAAAAATAATAAGCCGGATCCAATTCGAAGATTAAGGAACAACGCAATCATCAACATTAACTGAAATAGATAATTAGATAATTTTAGCTTATACCATTCGTTATACATTAAACGCGCACGCGAAAACGTATTCCGCGCTTGTGCAGACGCATATGCGCAGTCGTAAATGTCTTGCACGCATGCATAAAACGCCCGCATGCGCAAAAAGATTTTAGCTTTGAGGTCCGGATTATAGATCATTCCGGATTATGGGTGTCCGAATTAACGACTTTTGACTGTATTCCTTTTGCAAAGTCCTATTGAGAGTGTAAAATTAGCCAGAAATAGATCAGCAACAGGAAGACCTAGTAAATTCAGCATTCAAAAACCATTGCATGGAGATGGTAGACATTTTTTCGTAAAGTCCGTTGATAACAGAAGTGTTGTAAAGAGTACCAAAGCCAGACTGTTTATAGATGGATTTATTATTGGAACTGTGTAATGTAGCTTTACATCATGATTGTAATCAAGCTTTTCATGTTTGAATCTTTCAAATGAAATAATCTGTATTTGTAAAAGAAAATACAATGTATATTTTAATATTAAATTAATTACAAGTAAAGTTATTTGTAGATTTATAAAACGTTATACAGCTAAAATGTAATCCTGCGCTCCACTCAAAAGAAACATCACACGAGTACAATCCTACTCACTAAACATCCGTAATCTTATTCCGCTGACGTTGCGCGAACGCAACACTCACTTTTTCCACAGGTAGGAGCATTTTTTTTATTTTCAATGTAAATTTAGGTTATAAATGCTTAATTTAATATTTGTTATTATTTTCATGAGAAAAGAAACATTCCGTGTAGTTTTGGTGGTTTATAGGTTAACTAAAAACTAAAAAAACAAAGGAATAAGCCAACACTATCTAG